CCAAGGGCAAGGACAAGGCGTGATGACGCGGCATGCACTCTATCTCTCCTTTATTAATGTGTTTCGGGACACTCTGATGGTTTAAAAGAAGATAGTGATGTAATGAACTTGAATTTGAAAACAGATGTTTTTGGAATTTTATGGTTTATGCAAATGGTTTGATTATTGAAAAATGAAAATTTTCTTTGTAAAAATTGGGTTGTTACACCGGGAAGCCGTTGCGCGACCGACCCCTAGCCACGCAAATTCCGAGTTCTAAATTACTCCCACATGGGATGCAATCTGATTGCTACACACGACCGGTTCCTCATCTGCGCAAATGTTTGCATGACCGACTACCACCCTCGCAACCTACTTGTGTGACTACCTTCCACGCTCACAGATTTTCGCACGACCAAGACCAAATCCTTCCTATTCTTTGCAAGACCAATGATGCTAATTCTTTATTTGAGTTGCCCAGCCATCACCCGTGCAAAGTTTGCGAGGGTACCCGCGTAAATATGCCACTTCATAAGAAAATTTTGAGTCATTGCATGTGCTTCCTTTATGCGACCAAGCTTTTACCCGTGTGTATTTAGGCGGCCAAGAATTCTACCCATACATCATTGTGTATTCCTCGCGGGCCTCCTCCACCTTGATCGAGGTACGATCCTTCCTTACTCTCATCCTAAGTATTGAGGAGAATGCTTAATTTTAAGCCTGAGGTGAGGTATTCTTTGTCTTTTATTTTTATTGCATTTAGGTTGTATATAGTTGCATTTAGAGTAAGTCATTTAGGTCATTCATAAAAAAAATTGCATAAAAAAAAATTCAAAAATATTACATATTTTATTATTTTTCTTTTCTAATTTTCATACTTTTTAGATGCAATCTAGTTTAAGTTCATGCATTTTTGCTCTCTCTTGTCTTCTCATCCCTACAGGTACCATAGCACCGAGTCATAAGTATTGAATCATAGATTGGTCCCGGTCTTGATATGGAATTCCTTGTATTAGATAAATAGGACACGTCTTAAGCCTCACAGACCACTTTGAGACTGCTTGTGTAGGGGTCAGATGCAGGTAGCTTGATTGGGTCTAGGTGCGGAGGGATGTGGTTGGTCATGCCAATGTGTGCGAGCAAAGATTAGCTGAGTAAGGTATTTTGAAGACATTGAAGATATTGAAGACTTGCATCTTGATTTTGGGGGGAGTATCCCTTAGTACTCCCGAGTCTCGTCCGAGCCTTACTTAGTTAGATTCTCACCACCTTTTTAAGATAGGTCATCATTTTTCTAGGGGTATAGAGTAGATAGTTAGATAGATTTTGTTTATCACACCTTGCATTGAGGTGCTTGATGAAGTTTGAAGTGGGTCCCCCAATTCACATATTTTGGGACCAAGTTTTTCGATAACACCCATTTTTTAGTCATACCCCACCCTTTTAGTAGATCCTGACACATTGTCAATGATCATTAGGTATTCATGTTAGCCTCTATCTATTACTCCATTTTCATTATTGGAGTCTTATGTTACATGGTGAAATTCCTTAGACCTTCAAATAAGAAAGACAAGAAGAAAACACAAAAATTGAAGAAAATTTGGAAAAAGTGAAGACAATAAGAGACAATAAAAGATGATTTAAGAAAAGCAACAAAACACAAAGAAGAAAAATTAAGAAAAAGAGCAACACAAAAGAAGAACAAGACTCCAAGTTTAAGACTTCTTAGAAAAAAACGATGAGAAAGCTGAATGCCAAGCAACAAAAGAGGTTGAAATCCAAATAACATAAGTTCAAGATTGAAGAATTTGAGTTGTTAGGTTTAGATTTAGGTTAAGTAGAATTTTTATTATTTTATTTTATTTTTGATTTTTGGTGAGAAAAGGCCCTGACGATGAGACAGTAGAGTGTAAAGGATAGTACAAGGGAGAAGCCTCTGAAACCGGATGTTTGCCCGGAGACCGTCCTGCAAAACCCTATTTTGTATTATACCCTTTAGCCTGACAAATGTAGGAATCATCATGTGTGAAGAGGCGCATTTCCTTCATGAATTATGATCTGCATTGGTGATTTAAAGTGCTCCCACTGGGCGCATCTCCGTTTCCTTTGTCTTGCACACCGCGACTACATCCAGTAGTGATCTATTCGCCCATCTAGTGGTCGAGAATGTGGTTTATGGCTCTAGAGCGGGGGACATTTTGAAGATGTGTAGGGTCCATGAAGGACTAATTCTGACTATTTTGGCTGATGTTGACCAAGTTCTATGGTATATTTCTTTTTCCTTTTTATTTTAGCTCATCCCGAGCTCATTTTAGTATTGTTCTAACTTAAGGACAAGTTAGGTTTAAGTTTGGGGTAATTTGATAACTTATTTCATTTCCTTATTTTTATTACTTTGTTTTAGTCTTTTAGCTCTCTTTATCATTATTGCATTGTATTTTATTAATTTTCTGTATTATGGATCATACCGGGGACTTTTTATTTTGCATGAGGAATTTTGCAGTATTTGGAGCTCATTATGGTTGCGGTTTGATTAGAGTTTGACTTAGTGGGCTTTTCCGATGCATTATTGAGCTTGTCGGATCCACCAAATAAGATTTGGGCTTAAAAAGCTAAATGCTTGGATGAAGTGGGCTTGTGAAGATGTATATTGGACTTCTATTTTAGGCTTGGAGCATCCACATTTGAAGCTAAAAAATGATTGGTTAATTTGAATCACATGGATATGGAGGGGACCAAAGGAATCTTTGGTAGTGGAAGAATGGAGTGGAGGAATGAGGATCCAATAACATTACAACAACACTTGCGCGAGTGGAAGAATGAGTACCCGCGCAACTGCCCAGTTTGGGCATTTTGGTCATTTGACACACCATAACCTTGGGGGATCAGATCTATCAGCCACATTCTCGATTTGACACCATTGGAGACCTGGAGGAGGTGATTTTGAAGCTCAAGACTCATTTCTTTTCATCTTTCCATGATATTGGTAGTTTCTTTATGCAATTAGACTTTTGTGATTGTTGTTCTATTGCCATGAGTGGCTAAACTCTCTATTTTGGTAGAACTTGGTTGAAACCTCTGAATGTTTGTGGGTTTTTGAAGGATTTATTCTTATTTATCATTTATCTTATGTCTATGATTCTAGTTCATATTTTCTATGCTTCTTTAGTGCTTTGATCATGAGCTTGGTACTTTAATAAGCAATTGTTGGTTTATTTCTTTAGTTTAGCATTGAATCATTGAATTTACTTAGAACAAGAGCTTTATGATGGTAGAAATCATCTCTAGTTTATGAATCATAACTCCTTTATGGATGTGTAAGCATTGACATCCTCTAGGAATTGGGGATTTCTTCATTCTTAAGGCTTATCAACTTTTTGGTTTCAATTGCTTCAATTGGATCTTTGATTTTGATTAAGAAGGTGTGTTGTGGGCTTCCCCAACCTCTATACTACCTATGAGAGATCTTGGCATATCATGCTTTATGATTGCTATAACCAATTTGGGATGAATGATAAGCTTCATGTTAAATCCTAATGATAAACACACAAATGTTCATTGTGTTGAATTGCCTTGGTTTACCAATTTTCTCCAATATTCGAGCATCTCACTTTCTTGCTTAATTGCAAGTTTTTAGTTATTCAAGTCTTTTAGTTTTCAAGCAATCGTAACACCCCCTTTTAGTTTAATTGTAGCTAGTTAGTTTATTTAAATAGTTCTTTTAGATTGCATTGGTTATTGTTACAACAATTTTCCCGATGATCGATACCCCTTTTTACCATTATATTACGTTTTATTTGCAAACAAATGGTGTAATTTGCTTGGTCGACCTGACATCCCATTAAGTTTTAGAGAGAGAAACTAGCAAACCCATTTTGTACTATTTCTAATTCAACTAATGAGAGCTTAAAAGATTTATTTACTCCATGTATTCATGATTTGTATGATGATTCACTAGATCTTTCTTATTCCGCACATGCTATCATAATCAACACCACTACAGTGAGTACCATTGATCTTGAAGAGATTCAAGAGTCAAACGATGAAGGAACCTTTAAAGATGCTAGGGTTCAACTTGAGGAAGAAATTCCAGTTGAACCAGTTGAAGAATCATTACCTCTTAGACGTTCCAGTAAAGTTAGAATGCCACCTGAGTTCTATGGTTTCCATATTACCATAGATGGTGATAAGTTTATCAGTGATAGTACACTGGTAAATTTGGATGAACCTTCTAACTACAAGGAAGCAATGACAATCCCTAAGGCTTCCAAATGGAAATAGGTGATGGACTGTGAGATCAAGTCCATGTATGACAACCAAGTTTGGAAAATTCCAAGAAAAGAGAACTGTCTAAATAGAGTAATACCAAATTGAGTAAGACTCACAGCCCGAGTACCAATGTAGAGATAACATAAATGAGTATAGTTCCATATACTTCTGCTGTTAGATCTATCATGTATGCTATGACATGTACTCGCCTTGATGTGACTTTTGATTTGAGCATGGTCAGTCGTGATCAGGGAAATCCAGGTAGAGCTCATTGGATAGCATTTAAGAATATTCTCAAGTATCTGCAAATAACTAAGGACTGGGGTCATTGTGCTTGGTGACAGTGATACGATGAGAGTAACTGGGTATAGTGACGCTAGTTTTCAAATAGATAGAGATAATTTTCGTTCTCAGTCAGGCTGTGTGTTTACCCTAAATTGAGGAGCGGCAACCTGGAAAAGTTTCAAACAGAAGATGTGACTGATTCTATCTATGAATAAATCACAATACATAGTGGCGAGCAAAGCAACAGATGAGGCTATTTGATTGAAAAAAAACTTCTTATTTCAAATAAGTCCTCTTTAACACCCTTTTAATAGGAAATTAAGCCGAATTTGTATTTCTCTCTTATTTTAATTTTGTATTAACGTTTTTAAATGCAAGGGACTGAACTTAAAGTTTATTAATCAACAGGGGTGTGAATGGCAATTCCTCACTCAAAAAGCTCACGGTTAGATAAAAGTCGGACGCCAAGCGAAACAAAATCGACATACATTCCACCACTTTCCCCTGTTTGAAACTCTTAGACAAAAGTTTGAAAGAAATCAAAATATATGTAATTAAAGCAGAGAGTAAACGAATTGGCGTGAAGAAATTTGAATTTTACTTTCCCAATTTGTTTTATTCGAGCATGTTAATGTTAATTGCTCAGGATCTCGCGCAATACAAAAACCCTCCGATTTGTCTTGTGTCCTGAGATTTAGGGTTTTTACAAAAAGCTTGAATCCTTTTTGCGCTTACTTATTGATTGGGAGTGGGCTAGTGACACACACAAAGACATATATATTTAATAGTTTGAGGGGTTTTATCCGAGTGATTGTACGGGTGACAGTGATGGATGGCAGGAGGATAACGGCGAATCCACGTCCGTCTAGTGGTCGGCGGGTGGTTGCGAGGAAGCGGCCGCGTGGAGGTGTTGATGGGTTTGTTAATAGCGTTAAGAAGCTTCAGAGGAGAGAGATATGTTCGAAAAGGGGACGTGCGTTTACCATGTGTGATGCTCAGGAGAGGTTCAGAAATATTCGATTACAGGTTATTTCTAGGTTTATATATCATTTATTAGTCGTTTTGTTTTAAGTTATGCTTTTTTCGATTTGTTTGCACCCCTATATCGATTATACTGCACAACGTGTCAAGAGGATAGTTAATTAGAATTCTAGAAGTGAAGCTTCCCACTCAACTTAAGAATGAATTTAAGTTGGTTTAAAGGAATATCTAAAATTAGTGGTTTCATGTGTAGATTAGCTTGTTCGAACCCTACTTTTAATCTTGTATTAGCATTTTTTGTTGGTGTAAGCTACATGTATTGAATCCAAAATACTTTCTAACATTCCGATAATAAGCTCTATTATGTATCGATTATGGGCTTCGTACTTAAAGATAACAGCATATCAGTATCCACAATCTTTTTATCTGATTGATAATTGCTTCAGGAGGAGTATGACACCCATGATCCCAAGGGACACTGTCCTACAGTTTTGCCATTTCTTAAGAAGAGGTCAAAGATTATTGAGATTGTAGCTGCTCATGATATAGTATTTGCTCTTGCACAATCAGGAGTTTGTGCAGCATTCAACCGAGGTATAGTCATGAAAGATAAATCAGATACAAATGAACTTCTTACATTAAAAAAAATATCTGAAAGACATGCTCTACTCTACTTATTTGATGCAGACACTAACAAGAGAATATGCTTTCTGAATATTACTCCTGATGAGGTTATAAGAAGCCTTTTCTACAATAAGAACAATGATTCACTCATTACAGTTTCAGTGTATGCTTCAGACAGCTTTAGTTCCTTGAAATGTAGAACGACAAGGATTGAGTATGTATCTATAATCTTTCCAAAATCTTCTTTACTTGAAGTTTATATATATATATATATATATATATATATATATATATATATATATCATGCTTATAATGTTGTTTGTAATGTTGTTAGATACATAAGGAGAGGTCAACCGGATGCTGGTTTTGCTCTTTTTGAATCAGAATCTTTGAAATGGCCTGGATTTGTGGAGTTTGATGATGTAAATGGGAAGGTACTCACGTTCTCAGCACAAGATAGGTAAAATCTTGTTTTTTTTTAAAAAAAAAAAATAATATTCTTACTTACAGGTTATTATGTCCGATGTTCATCCATTGTTTTGTAAATTTTGTCAGCATTTACAAGGTGTTTGACCTAAAAAACTATATGATGTTGTATTCCATATCAGATAAAAATGTACAAGAGATCAAAATAAGGTAAAGATCCCTCCCTTTTTCCCAAAAAAAAAATATATATGAATGGTGAATGTCATCCGTTTTCTAACTTCTTAATTTTTTGTTTGGAAACAGTCCTGGAATCATGTTGTTGATATTTAACAAATCCAGTGGCCATGTCCCATTAAAGATCCTCTCTATTGAAGATGGAAGTGTTCTAAAATCTTTCAATCATCTTCTTCATCGACATAAGAAGGTGGATTTCATCGAACAGTTCAATGAAAAGCTTCTTGTAAAGCAAGAGAATGAGAATCTACAGATTCTTGATGTAAGTGTTTTGTCCTGATTTCCATTTAGGTGTTTATGAAATCTTCCATTTAGAAGATTGAGATTCTAAACCTATCTATCTATGTTTCAATGTGAAAATAGGTAAGAACTTCTGAGCTAATAGAAGTTAGCAGGACAGAATTCATGACTCCATCAGCATTCATCTTTCTGTATGAGAATCAGTTATTCCTGACATTCAGAAACCGAACAGTTGCAGTCTGGAATTTCAGAGGGGAACTTGTGACTTCATTTGAAGATCATTTGTTATGGCATCCAGACTGCAACACCAACAACATTTACATCACAAGTGATCAGGATCTCATCATTTCATATTGCAAAGCCGATTCAGACGATCCATTAACTGAAGCAAACGGTAAATAATAACTTCTTGTTATTGTTATTTGTTATTCTACTTTCAGTTTCTCACTTTCAGATCATTACTTATTATTATTTACAGCAGGTTCCATAAATATCAGCAATATTCTGACTGGGAAATGTCTGGCTAAAATCAAGGCATTGAATAATGTTGTGATGGATGAATGCAGTTGCAGTGATAGTGATAGTGATAGAAGAAGATGCAAGTGTAGATTAAGGAGTAGAAGGATTGAAGCTTCAAGGACTACAGAAGCTCTGGAGGATATTACTGCTCTTTTCTATGATGAAGATCGTAGTGAGATATATACTGGGAATAGGCTTGGTTTGATACATGTGTGGTCTAATTGAAATTAAAACGTTTTTTTTTTTTCACTTGTAGTTAATGATATATTATATTATATTATATAATATGTTGTGTGATATTGAAATGATTGGTAAAAAAACTGGATGTTTTTTGTTTACATGTGTTTGGTGGTGGGAGTTGATAATGGTTAAATTCTGTGTGCATCATTATAAGGTGGGGGCTTAGGTTTGGTTATTTGTATCATATAATATGCTTTTAACGTCGAAGGTTTTGACCCACCTGACCCACCACCACCTACGGTGGTGGTGGTGGTGTTGGGTGGTGGTGGGGTTGTGAGTTCAATTTGGTAAAAACACAATAAAAGAGATAGAAAATGTGGAGGTGTCAGAGTTACAGCTAAGGAGCAACATGGGCTGTGAAAGTGTGTGGCCTGAGCTGATGCCTGGTGGGCCTTCACCTTGACCCTTGCCCAACCACCCATGTTCCCTCTTTGACATTTTCAATTATTTTTTTAATAAATTCGTTTGGGGATTATGTTATGGTATTAACTTAAGCATTTAAGTAGTTGCCCTAGCGTTCACTTTGTTAGAATCATGTTCCATGTGATAAAAGTTATATGTTTATTTATTCACTTTTTATTCTAGTAGTAACTTTTGTTATTTTTTTTTGTTTTGTTTTAGGTTTAATTTGGTGCAAGTGCATCTCAAATTAAGTTTCATTTTGAGTGTAGAAAATCGGGTAAAGGTAAACCATCTCAAACCCATCCCTATTTTTACAACAGAAATAATGTTATAGATGGTGTTGCTTTAGATTTGGAGTCTTTTCTTTTTATTTACATATCTTTTTATTTATACATGAAATATGATATTGAACTTTTACTTGGTATATTTGTTATTTCAAGTTAAAGTTTATACATACTTAGTTTACTAAATTTGTTTTAGTTTTGATTTAATTTAGAGAAATTTCTAAAACAGACCAATTATTTTGGAAAAATCAACGATTAAGTATTGATTTTTTTTGTTTTTTTTTAATAGAAAAGCCAAGAAATTGGTAATTTTCTTTATTTTAGCTCTTTAACATTTTCAACAGTCATAAGACCAAAATGTTAAATTTTCCCAAAATAATGAGATTTTTTTTATAAATTTCTTCAAAAATTTTTTACATAATGTATAAACATATTTTTATATATTTATATATGTTTTTTTTATAAATATTTTTAGGTATATATATATATATATATATATATATATATATATATATATATATTTCAAGTTTCACTGTAATGATGTAATCTAACTTTTAGACCTTGTAAATAAAGAAAAAAAAAGTTTTAGAATATTTCAAAACAAACATTTTTTAAAGACAATCCTTACAATCAACGACAATTTTACAAGTAAAATTTTTATTTGTTCTTGAATTCAATTTGTAGATGAACAAAGTTTATGAATATATATGTCGTTGATAATTTATTATGAGAAAAATATGAACGAGTTATAATCAATCATTTTTAGTTTTCAGATTTAATTAAATTAATAAGAAAAATAATTAAGTAACCGTCACAATTAATGAGGAAAAATGTATTAATCATAATGTTAATCACAAATTATGGCCGTTTAATTATGAAAATAATTTTATTATTCGGATTTTATTTCTTTTGTAAACGAAATTCAATATTCTTCAATATATATATATATATATATATATATATATATATATATATATATATATATATATATATATATATATATATATATATATATATATATATATATATATATATATATATAAGTCATTAGCCATTCCAATTGAATTATGATGCATTCAAGTTTTTTCCTACCATTCTCAAAGTTAATTCTACGGAAAACCTTTATGAAATGAATAAATCTTCACAACCACCAAAATTTATTATGATGAAATAAAATCTTTAACTAAATTTGCTTAAAAACAAAACTACTCATTCGAATCCAACTTTTGATAAAATTAAGTTTAAAATGTGAGTTTTATTCTTTGTATGTAATCTTTCTAACTTTTTTAGCCATAGTGTTAAAATGTGAGTTTTAAATTATTTTGTATGATACACTTATAACATTCGGGACAACCTATGCACAATAATTCTTTTTTACGATTATTAATTTAGAAAGAAAAGAGGCCATAAATATGTTATATTAAGAAAACTAACCATTATGTAATGTTGATTTTTTACTAATACCGAAATTTTCTTAAAAATGGGTCAAACCTATTTATGTGGTTGGATCCTATATAAAAGGGACCCAAAACTAATACCAAAATTTCATTCTAGAAAATCTAAAAAATATTAGATTCCAAACCTCTTGCACCATCTCCATCAAGTATTTCTTCGAAGAAAAACATAAATCCTACAAACCAAGTTAGTTTGATATGTTTATCTACTTAGCTTTTATGTTTATATGTGTAAAATGCAAGTCTAAAATATGAAAAACATCTCTAGAATTCGAAGAACAAGTCTGAAGCGTATAGAATTCGAAGAACAAGTTTGAAGCGTATATTCTTAGTATGCCTAAGTTTCATTTCCCATAATTTCTTTGTAAGAGTAGTTAGTAGGCTTCTTGGTAACTTGCACGTTGCCCAAACAACCTTAGAATTACACCATGAAATACCAATAATTGTCTGTAATGACATGATGTGTTTGAAAATGCAAAGTGATATTGATAATGACAAATTCATTATTAATTATTCAATTCCAAAGGGGTAACACGACCATCATTTGGTTTGGTATTTCCCATTAAGGTGGACCACGTAGATGAGGCACCATTTCCGTGTGGTATTTAGCTCGATACATTACACACGTCAAATAAATATGAACCATATGGTAACTCATACACTTATCCGATGAACTCTTTTTCAAATGTTGGCAAAAGCGATTTTGAATTCTTAGTTTGTAAGTGAAGGAAAGGAAAACATATCCCGTAGTGCAAAGATTCTGAAATGTGTCCAGAATATACAGTTCATGATATACAAAATATATATTTTAGAATGTCCAAACGATACGATGTCAATCTTAAATTCACAACAACGGTCTGAAATATATACCGTTAGATTCCAAAATACATTTACGTCACATCTCACTAACCGTATACCAACTCTAAGATGGACGTAATTACTCTGATCTATGGCTTTTCTCTACAAAATGCTCATTTAAAAAAAACAAAAAAAAAGCTATTTTTGCTATATTCATTCAAAGGAAGGTGATACCACGCGCCGTAGAGTCGTAGCCTCTTAGGATTTATAAATGCTTATTAATTAATTTAATAGTATCACAATCATTCCACTACGTGTAAACCCAATGTGTGCCCACTGCTCTGTCTCTCTCTCGCAGCGTAAACCAAACTGGAAGGAAAAACCACAGTATCCAATTCAATTTCGCATTTATGATGTGAAAACAACTTCTTTGATCACTTTTGATCGTCTCCACTTCAACTCTATATACATTATACACACTTGTATACCTTACTGTGTGTTTGAATAGTGCATTCACAGATTTGAAATACACTGACGATTGATTTGGGGTTTTCCGGGGAATTGTGGTAAAATTTCCTTCTCAGTGTCGTTTTGAGCTGCGAATTTTGTTGCTGAAGTTTAGGGAATTTGCTTGGCTAGATCTTATCGTCAACGGTAGGTTGTATGTCTATTGCATTATCACTATGGAATTTTGTTAGCTCATAATTCCATCATTGAATTTTCAAAGATTGTGATGATTTTCACGATAAGGTTGATGATGCTTTGCCTGATTGTTTTATATAAGTCGGTGAGTTCTGTTACGGGTGACTTTAGAGTAAAATTGACTATTTGAAAGTTGAAAATGAAAAGGATGCTTATCTGTTTTTCTTTTTTTGTACGACATGAGCATGTGCTGGGGTATTTAACAAACTGTAGGAGGAAATTGAGTTAACTTAGGGTTTTGCTACATTGTTTCAGGTTGGTAGAGATGGAGGGCGGAATAAATCTTGATGCAACACTTGATTATGTTGAATTTCACACATTTCCAAGCCAGAACAGGTTATTTCCCTTTGAATTTTCATTTACAGATAATTGTTTTTCTCCTGTTTATCGATTACTTTTTTACTGTTTCCTCTTGAATGGGCTGATGCTAGCAGCTCTTGAATTGATCTTCCTTCTGGACTATAACTTAGAAACTGAAGTGAAATATCAACATTTTGAATTTCTCACATTTCAATGTTTCATATCAGCCATGTTAAAATTTGGTGTACTTCACTTTTTTACTAAAATGAAAGTCCATCCATCCCCTTTTGCTCTTATGGTAGGTATGAGGTAAGTGTATGGAGTAGCAACAAAGAAGAGAATTTAGCATCTGGACCCTTGGAACAACTGTTGTTACATTCACCTGAAACAAGAAATTTGTCCTCCAAAGACTCCAACACAAAGTTCAAGATTTTACCACCTGACAACATAAATGATGCCTGCTGGTTTACAATAGCCACACTGACAAGGTCCATATTGTTATATGTATCTCAATTCCAGTTTCCAAAGTTCTGAAAAGCTTTCATTCTCTTTCTTCTCACTTTAGTTTATTTTAATTTGTTAGATTTCTACAAATTATTGGTTTGCCAGACGTCCTTAGCATTGGAAAAGAAATCTCTCAACTAGAGGGGACCAGAAATTTTATAATCTCATCATCTGATAAGTATGTTTCTTTTTAGTGTCCTTTATTTCCTTATGTTATGCTTTTTCTTATCAACATATGTTGTGGTTTCTTCTGATAGGAGTGAAATTCTGGTAGCAGTTGATTTAAGATTGACAGCATTGAAAGAGGAACTAGCTGCTGTGTTAAACAAGGCTATTAGTTCAAAATACTCACTCAAGGACATTTCTAACTTGGGAAACTTTGCTCTTCATTTTGGAGCCAAGGATCTAAGGTAACTTTCTTTTTCTTAGATTCATGTATGATAATTTGATCCATCAAGATCACTATTTAGTATTTTCTGCATGTACATGTTTCAGGGACTCATTGCAGAAATCTGTTGAATTGAGCTCAATAGAAGATGAGGATTCAAGTGAGGAGGAGGAGGAAGATCAACCGGATGCTGAAAGAAGTCGTGGTGTTACAAGATCTTCAATGCCTAAAAGATCAGCATCTCCAATGAGAAGAATCCAGATAGGGCGATCTGGCTCTCGAAGAACAGCTGCATTAAGTATCAAGAGTCTCAACTATTTTCCAGGTAGGGAAAAGTCAACAACGCCCCTAGGAGATGATGAAGAGGAAGAGGAAGAAGATTCACACAGACCTGTTAACAACAATGTATTGAGAATGAGTGTACAAGATAAAATCAGTCTGTTTGAAAGCAAACAGAGAGACCAAGGTGTAGTACATGTTCAGAAGACAACAAAGAGTGCAAACAAAGCTGTACTTAGAAGATGGAGTTCAGGAATGGGTGAAAAAGGGACTACTTTAAGCAGCCCCAAAAGTATAGGTCAAGATGACAAAACAGAGACTGATAATAATGATAATAATATTAATAATAATTCCAATACTGAAACTTGTCCTGAAAATGGAACACCATATGAGGAGTTGGGTGAGGAAGTTTACAAATTTGAACAACCTGAAAGAGATGATGAATGGAGTCAAGAAAAGGGATTTGATGATCAAAATGTGACAAGTGATGATAGCAAAATAAAGATTTCAAAGGAGCAGAAAGACGAAGTTTATGAGGATCATGATAATAAAAAAAAGGAAGAAAAGGTCCAAAAACAAGGTGCTAGAAAGAGAGTTGAGAAAAGCTCCAGTAGGAATGTGAGTGGTGCTAAATGTAATGGAAGACATCAAAATGAACCCCAAAAAACTCAAAAGAACACAGTCCAATCCCAGTTGATAAATTCCAAAACCACCATGAAACCTTCTGCAATCAAGAAATCTACATTAAATTCATCTTCTTTGCCTACTACACGAAAGTCACCACAACCTGCAACTAATCGAAAACCTCAATCTCCTGCATCATCAAAAGCTGAAAATTTACAGCCACGATTGAAGACAAGTAGTCTCAAGTCAACAAAACCAGATGGTAACACAAACACAAAAATTAAAGCTACGAATGAGAAGAAACATCCCACATCGATTGAAAACAGAAAGACAACAAGAAGAAGAACCAAAGTTGAGACTCCTAAAGAAGACACAGACACTAGTACGAAACCTAGTTTTTATACTAAAAAAAACAGTGTGGTTCCAGTACTTGAAACAAAGCCTTTCCTTCGTAAGGGCTCTAGGGTTGGCCCTAGTGCTGGTGCTGGTGGTGTTATAAAGACACGTGGAGTAGCATCACTATCACAGCCTGTGGAAGCTTCAAGAACCTTCGAAAATCCGACTACAAGGAATGTTGATATAATGATTATAAATCATGATATGATGGAAAGTAGTGATCAAAGTGAAACTCCAAAAACTAATTTTGTGGAACCCGAGGTGATTGAATGTGAGCAATCAGACAAGTTGTCATGTGATGGTGATTTAGGGGTAGAAATACAAGAACTGTCTGGTGTGAATGTGACAGTGACAGAAGAAGCCAAAGTAGAAATTTACGCAGAGAATCGTGAAAATGAGATTGTTCCGTACAAGGAAAGCCCAGTGCTGCCACGTGTTCGCCATTCTTTATCTCAGATGATGCTTGAGGAAAGCAATGAATCCGAGTGGGGTAATGACTCCCACCCTCCCACCCTAGTCTACCAAAAGGACGCACCCAGAGGATTAAAGCGACTTTTGAAGTTTGCTAGAAAAACCACTAAACCTGATTCACAATCACATTTAACTCATTGGTCAAGCCCAGAAGGAGAGGATGATACCGACGAATCCAAAGGTAAAAATAACAATAGTAATAATAAAAGACCCTACTTTTAATTATTTATTTTCTTTTATAAATTCCAATATTTGTGTCGTGATTTTGCTTTTCAGCAACAAGGTCATTCTTCTCTCTTTCAGCGTTCAGGGGGAACAAGATAAATGAGACCAAGATTCTTCATCGCTAAAACATATCACAACAACTGTAAATCATACATTCCATCAGCCCCTTCCCCTTTACAGGTGAATTCAATTCAAGGGTTATAATCATATTATATTATATATTGTGGTTATTAAATCTATATTTCATTTTTGTGGTAATTGTGGGTGTTGTAGGGTACAATGTTGAATAAGTTAGGTTGTGCGTTTCAAGGGTTAATTATGTGGGATCTTGATATTAATTGTTATATTACAAATTACAATTACAGTCACTTTTGTTGATTTGATGTCTCTTTTTGGTTGACCAAATGCAAATGACTTGTTATTAATCTTATCAGTCTCTGCAATAAAAGGACTTGATTTGCTTTTTAAATTTTAAGGGATGTTGTCACAACTTATTTAAATGGCTCAGTTGATATTGAGCTTCATCAATTGGTACTCAGATTTATATGAAAAGTCCCCAAGGATTTAAACCACTCAAAGCAACTAGAAAGTTATTGAGAACATTCTTAGATCAAATTTGAAAGCATTCTTGTATGGAAAGAATAACTTCAAAATATTGACGCAATTTACATCCATATACTTAAACAAACCATCAAAATACCATACCATAAATGTATAAATATAGCCATAGTGAAATAAGTCCTAACAATCACTCACATATGGCAAACTAAATTAAACCGGGGGTTACTAATAGTGACTGACAAAATAACAAATATAGGATACAAAATTCTATGGCCTGACGTACACAACCTGATATATGATGACCTTTTATAAAAAAGACCCTCATTAAAAACTTAAACTGCATACGCCACAAACCACATAAGCATAAAGTTGAGAGTTCATGGTTTTATTACATTATTAAACATGAAATTGTCTTTGAGAAAAATGTTTCTCCTGTTCTCTGTGTTTTCACTTTCACATAAATATCAACTTATATTTTTTACATCGAGGGGTAAGGTAAACATGTAATAAGTTGTGTCATTAACCTTTTCTCGATGACAAAACTAATTCTTTAAATATCACATTCATAAAACTTGGGATCATAATATTAATATGGATAACCGGTTGGACTCCGTTAAGGAGCTCCACACCATCTGACTCAAGGAAACCAAATGTATCAAACATGAATGATATATACACGTGTTGGTTTTCCATATATGTTTTCTCATACTTTTTCACTTGCATGAAACAACTTTTAAAACAGTCCATCCCACAGTGAAATCTCATTTCTCAAGCCTACGAGAGAGCAAATCCTTATTAGATCTACGCATCCCTCCCTCTCCATCCAAAAACCAAAACTTTAATTGGTGTAAGTGTTGACATTCTTTCTAACAAGTCAGTCAAAAAGTTTATTTTTTGGCAGAAAACTATCATACCTAAATACATAAAAAAGAAAGTCCTCAACCCTATTTTGGTAGTACTTGAATCTCGGAAACACTCTACAATGTACTGCATGATTTCCAAAAAATCCAAACATGTCGTGCAATAAACTTAACATATCTCATCAACCAGAAATAATTGAATCATGATGCCATACTTAAGGATAACATGACACTTATGTTGTAAGTGGTAAGGCTGATATATGCCAAGGTAGGTCACTTGATCCACCTAAATTTAAATTTTTTACAAGTTATATATAAACATATTTAGTACATATTTTAAGGGACCTACCTTAATGTATTTGTTTGGATGAAAAAAAGCATAAATTAAAAATAATAAAAATCATATGATATTTTGTGGTATGAAAGAGTCACATATCGACTCCAAAAAAAAAGTGGTGATGTGTTTTCATTATAAATAACTATTTCTCATTTCATGCTTCCACACTATAAGCTTGACAATACATGGTTTAAACCGACATACTCCAAGTATAAAATGATTTTAATAAAAATAAAAAATAAAAAATTAAGGAATGACCGACCTAGGTTCGGTCCTTTCACTACCAATTTTCTACATATCTAATTGGTTGTTTTTTTCGGTTGAACCTTATTTTTCTATTGAACCGGCCCGATTGAACTCAATTAGGAAACCATGTGATTTTGAGCTCTAGACTCGCTACTGTATTTTATCCAAGACCATCTATAAGGAAATTCATAAAAGTATGTGATGCTCATAAACACTAAAAAACGGCTTTCTATGTACTTCATGTATTGGATAATTTTATTAAAAAATACATTCTTCAATGAAAACATGGAAACATATATTCTCTTGTCGAAAAACATATTTTCTCAAACCTAGTGAGAATTGCACCCTCACCCAATCCATCACTAGACATCATCAACATGTAGGGGTTTTTAATGGCATCAATGGTGAAATACACAAACTAAGATCGTCCACATTAGTGTAATGTCGTTTATCTTTCAGGCGTGCTATGCAAAATTTTGCAATGATCTCTACAAATTTAAAAAAGTTCCATTTTTGACTCTATTTTTCTATGTTCTTTTTCTTGGCTTAAATGTAAAGCTTCCAAATCGGATGTATCTTGGAATGCTTGGCTTTAAACTCGTTGTAATTGGTGGATTTTTTTTTATTCTAGCGTTTTGCTAGAATATGCCTAATATATGACTTTGTAGCTATAAAAAAAAGCTAATACCCAACCTCTTATAAAAGTGGTTTCACTTCAACTCGAACAACTTTATATTTTGTAACAAATATCTTAATAATTCATAATCAATAGTTATTTAATAACAAATTAACATTAATATATTATTTAAAATTAAATTGAAAAATATAAATTTAGAGACAATCAAAAATTACATAATTACCATTTTACAAACGTTTAATGGAGAGGGTTTAACGAACAATAGGGTAAAGGACACACCAGGATTTTTGCAGGGAAAATGATAGAGGGAGGGGGGGGGGGGGGGGTAACAAACTATTGCATTTGTTCTTATTTGTTCCCTTTGTTTGTACTATATTTACCATTCAACTTGTTTGTGATGTTCATAAAAACCATTATGACCGACTATTGTAGGTTTATCCGATCAAGTTAAATTTTCCAGCCAATATATGAAATTTCTTGTGGCTACATGAACTTTCCAGCAAAAATATGAATTTTTCGACGACTGTATGAATTTTCTGGCAAAAATTGATGTTTTTTTTTGAAGAACTTGAACTCAAAGCTGATGAAGGTTCATTCATGGAAGAAAGGAGGTTGGTCTTGATTCTCATGGATGTAAAAACACAAGCATGTATGTGTGTATGTCAGATCTGATAACCCAAATTTGTTTGCCTGTTCATCATCTTCCTAGTCACCCATCACCTCCATCTCTGTCCATATGACATCAAAACAAGAACCACCTGTTGCCTTCCACTTTAAAATGAGCCAAACACCACCTCCTTTTTACATTTTTCACACTCGATGACTTGAGCCAACTCATTCTTCAAACCACCATCACCGAACCTCCACCTTATACCACCTGTCAAATACCTCAAACCACCACCTGATACAACCCTAAACCCCCTTTTCAGTCGAGCAACAACCAACATAAATCGTTTGTTTATGAAATCCTTGACATTGTGCAAATCGATTTGTGTGTGTAAGTCGAAGAGAAAAGCCTTTGATTTCGTTTATGGGTTTTTAGATGAAGCTTCATCCATGGCATGATAGATTCTTTTTTTATTTTTGAAATGGTTTGAAGGTTATCCATAGAAGAAACAAGTTCAAGATGTGTTAGTCGATTTCTAATATGTATGTTTTTTGGTTTAAATCATTTCAGTAAAAGATTTGAAATCGACGGAAAAGAAATGTTTGCCGGGAGAAGATGATCGGAGAGTCGTTGGAGATTACCTAGTTGCTGGAAACCTTCAATAACCGGTAATAATGGTATTTTTTGACACCTACAAGTTGAATGGTAAATATGGTACTAAAAAAATAACCAAATGAGAACAAATGTAATAGTTTGTTACCTTCCTAAGTCAATTTCCTATTTTTGCAACAATATCCATGAGAACGAGTAGCATAAATTTTGAAAATTTATTAGTGCCAAATATGGGACCAAAACTATAATTTACTCTTAAATGATATATCTTCCATCACGTCCTCAATCAATACGACAATTTTCATGGAATAGCTTTTTAGTACGTTTAATGGACACCAACCCCAAAGTGTTTTCTTTATCTTTCACTTTCTTTGTATTAATTGTATTCATAGTATTGCAACTTTATAAATGGTGCTACTAAATAAACATCCTATTTTAAAGTTAAACCTCATTTTACTAAAACCACACCCCATTTCAATGTAAAATCTCGAAAATAGTATAACTTTGGAAATTCTAATATGTTTGAGAACTGTGTAATTTAATGTTCATTAAATTTAAATCTGATCCAGCTATTAACCGTGAATTAACTTTTATAAAAAACAAACATCTATTATAAATAATCAATTTATGATATCACTGTCACAATATACATTAGAGTAAGTTAGTCTTCTACCTGCTCCCATCATAGTCATTGGAGACTTACCACTGGGGGGTCATAAATTTCTTTTATTAGATAAAGTATTTTAAAAAAATGCATAGTTTTAAAAAAAATACTACTTAATCATTATCTAATAATAAGATTTATTAAAGGTATTTAAAATGTATTTTTAATCATTAAATGGTGTTTTTTAGTATATGTTGTTTTTTTTAGTAATTAAAGGTCTTTATTTAGCTAACCCCATTTATAAATAGAAACGATGTACTTAGATTAAAACATGTCATTAATAAATCTCTTTCTTTCTCTCTCTCTCTCTCTCTCTATATATATATATATATATATATATATATATATATACCCTTTCTTATTTGGTCATTGATATCTTTGTATATTATTTATACACTTTCTTATTTGATCGATGTTTCACAATAGAAAGCTACAAAATAAACGTAGTGGTTTTGAAAAACTTATAGAGTTGAAGTTCTTGTTATCTTTGTATATTATTTATACACTTTCTTATTTGATTGTCGTTGTTGTTGTTGTTGCTTTTTGAAATTATCGGGAACTTTACCTTTTTATTTGTAGGGTTTACAAGAACCCTAGCGTTGCATATGAAATGTGGTTTCCTTTTTATCTGAACATCTTGAATTGGGGCATACATGATACGAAAGAGAAGAAACAAGATTAAAGAAACATTTTTTGAAGTTATTTTTATGTGATTTAACGATGGAGAAGATTGAAACAAAAAAAATCGAAAATGTCGTTGAAGAAGACGACCGAAGATGTCGTCGGAGCTTCTGTCCCCTGGAAATGCCGCCGGAGGTGGAACTCAAAACCCCAAAATTGGTCTTACCTGCTATTGCAGGTAATCAGGCCAGATAATGAGCATGAGCAAACTAGGCATAGGAACAGGGTCCATTTTTTGATGGGGTCTAATTTTT